CTTCACTCGGTTGCGCCTTGAATGCCAACTTTTGTATTCTTATCACATTTTGACGTCATTTGTGATCTGTGGAAAAACGGGATCCATATTTGTTTTATAACATAAACAAGCAAAAAATTTGGTACGATAACGTGGATCATTTATCTAACAAGTCTTTAACAATTAGAGTTTCCTGTTAAATGTCCAAACAAAACCATCTTTTTGCTAATAATTAAAATGACTAATAGAGGGTAAGAAAAGAGCTAAAAAGCTGCTAAAAATTTGAATTGTCTTAAAGGTCTGTTTAATCTTTACGTAACAACTTGTAATGATAATCTACGCTTATGAACCCAAGTTGCCCAGGCCGTTATGTTGGAGAAAAACCTTAAACGTACGTTTCGTCGTCGATTCATGTAAACACATTTACGAACATTAAAAGGTTCTATATGGTTTAGTTATTTAACCATATTTTTGTGTGTCCCCCGAGGGACTAAGTCCTCAGTGATTCGCACATGTAAATATCAAAACATTTTTTTGTTAGCGACTACAGCCCAGGCCATTTTGCTATTCGCCCACCCATCGTTGAAATCGCATCTTATTGAGGCTAGCGTGGTGATTAATTTTTATAAGTAACAAGTGATCATACCTTTCAATTGCAAAACTTGTTAAAGAAGCGCTGTTCCGGAACTCATTGCAACTCAATTATAGTCTGACGTGTTCCTGAGAAGTTAGGCATATACCTTAGTTTGAGGTGGAGATTAGCCTTGGAAAATGCTGAGGTGTTTAAGATCGCCCACCCGACTTGTTTTTTCGGCCGTGTATCATGCGATAAGTCCCTTCGAGGAAACTACCCAAATTTCCTGCACTAGCCGCGTTGATTTCAAACTTGGCATCTTCATCGTCTAGCTGCACCTTGCGGGGACCAAACAGAGAATACTTGTCTCTTCCCATGCAACCGTAGTGGTTTTTCGACACAATTTTTGAATTATATATAAACGCTCTCTCTCTCCCCTAAGAAAGAAACTCTGACACGCAACATAATTTCTAACTGATGCATTAAAGCAAGGCGTCTAGAACAACTTTGGGTCCTTTATGGGCTGGCCGACTTGTAAAACGAAACTTATCCTGGGTTTGTTAACTGAATATTGATGTTTGAGGCCCTGTTAGAGAAAAATCACGAGTCTTCGATCCAAGTTGTGCCCCGCCAAAATTAATCTAATACAAATTACTCAAAAATTAAATCACGAAATAAATATCTGGCTAAAAACGGGGAGCAACCATGGGATATTAGGCCATTGAATTCCACCTTTTTGGTGGTCTTGAGATACGAGAAATAACACAGAGGTACAATTGTACGCAATTAGAGACGTCAAACAAGCCCTATAATCTATCGTTGCCAAAAATTCGGTACCGATTTAAGCAGGGCTTTATACTAGATATCAGGTAACTGGGTGTTAAAAGATAAAAGGAAGTGTCTTTTCATGGTTGTAAACGTGGTTTCTTTAGTAACTCTTGTATATATTTGTCGAGTGTGTGTTTAAATTTTCGTTAACATCAGTGACAAATTCTCAACAGAGATTAAGGGATAAGTTAATGAGATGTGACTTTTGTTCTTGGAGCGTGAAAAGGATCATAATAAACGCCGCTAGGAAAGAGGAGATTTGTTTATTTTGTTATTTTTTTTTCTGCATATGGAAGAACGTAAGAGAGAAAAATCACTCCTTGCCAAGTATATCTGCCAAAGCACAAGCCACGCAGCGATTCAATAACCTAACGGCACTCTCCAACGTCACCAAAGTGTCGAGGGTTTTGGCCGAGAGCCTTTTGTTTGTGCGTTTAATAAAAAAAAAGACACTTCAACGCCCCAAAGTAATGTTTGTCGTGCCAACCTTCGTAATGATTCATCCACTGCTTCGTAACCAACTTCAGTCCCCGAGAGATCACACGATGCCCGTTATCGGTTTTTCTTTTGGGTTCGATGATTTGTAAGGCTAAATTTGTTCCTACTCCCAAATGGAGGATATTAAATTTAACGCGTGATTCCCATCGTGTTTAGACTTAAAAAGCTTTTATTTTAACGGAAAACTCTTTCTTTGTCAGTCTCATGACAAAAACAAATGACATCTTTCTTCATTCATCGACCTAGGGAAAACTTTGTACTAGTTATCCATGATCCTACAATACCAGCTTGCAATGACATTTCTCAAACAGGAACTCAGTAATGACTAGTCAGCAATAAGTCAGCAGTTAAGCAGTTGAAGCAGTTAAGCAGTTAAGCAGTTTAGTCAGCAATTAAAATTGCTGACTAAAAAATTCTCTTCAGCAGAGTGGTAGACCATCACGTGAATTTCTTGAGCGTGGGGTTCGATTTTCTGTGAGTGCTCCGATTGGTTCCTTATCCCTAGGCCTTACTCGAATGAGACCCAAAAAAAAACCTTTCGTTCAATAATTTTCACCCTTTCATTTTTCTCAGATTTTCTAATAGAACTACTTGCCTCCCAAATTTACCATGAAGATGTTTTGCTTTGTTACCCTGGCTCTACTAATAGCGTCTGTGGCATCGCGATCTCCATTTCACCGAATGGACGTAGCCGGTAAGTCGTTACTAGTCGTGGCCTTGTGAGGGAAGGAAGACACTCCTCTGAATTCTTATTAGGAATGATGATTTTTTTAGCAATAGATTTGGCACCAGCCGTTTCTTCTCCCCGCGATAAAGCCTTATGTGTGTTGCCAGGTCATTGCTTTGTTACAATGTCTTTTTGGCGGAGATAACAATTATGGGGCTCATTAAGTATACTTCTTCTGTTGAAGGACTGACCAAAAAATAAAAATACAGCCATTTTTATGACGGAAATTAAAATTTTCTTTTTTAGAATCTATTGATGATGGAATGGATCGTGATGAAGCGAACGGTGATGAAATGTTCCTCCTGGATCCAAAGTGTGACCAGCATTGTTTGAATCGTTGCGATGGCAACTGTGCAGGATGTTGTTGAGACAATTATTTTTCGTAAGTTTTAATTATTATTGTCGTCATTCTCATCGTTATTGTCAATGTTATTCTCACTATTGTCATCATCATTATTATTATTGTCATTACTTCTGCTGTGCAAAGAAAGTTCACATTATGAAACTCTGAAAACCGTGAGCATTTTGATTTGATACTGTCAGGTCAATTATGTATTGACCAATCACAAAAAAGATAAGGATAATCTGTTACTGATGGCGTTCTGGTTTTCTGACGCCTTACAAATCCGGGCTCTTTCGTTGAAATACGATTCCATTTCATAGAAACTTCCGGTGTTCATGGTTTTTAAGGCATTTACTGGAAATTTAGATCCTTTATTTATGCATGATTTGGAAATATGGTACTTCTTAATGAATCAATGATAGGCAACCAGAGAAGCACTGGATGGTAAAAGTTTGTTTGTTACATCAGGGCACGTCTTCTTGAGAGTGACTAGAATGGCTGTTAAGAGCTATTTGCATTCTGCCACACAGAAAAATGAACAAGCTATTCGCCGGCGCATAATCCTTATTTTTATGAAGCTGTTATGCAGCTTTCTAGTCACAAAAATGATTTTTATTCCCTTTCGCATCATATCGTTCAGATTTCTTCGATTGCATGATCCGTTGCACAACTTTGGTTTACTCTGAAACTGGCTCAAACTTAAACTATCCGTACTCAGAGATTGGAACGACCTCACTGATACACCAGTACACATTTGGTGGACTAGGACGACCACAGGCGAATGGTCGTGGACTCCAATCGGTCTGTGGGCCAAGCACAGATTCTGCCCTTGCCAATCAACGGTGAACCCGTCATTCTTCGCCTTGAGTTTAAAGAACGTGTGCAACGTAGGCTCACTCGGCATCTATCGTGTCGGGTTCTCGAAATTGAACTTCTTGTTAAGATCGTTGGAATTTCAAGGCATCACTTAAAAGCCGGAGGAAAGATCACTATTTCCAGGTTCAATCAGGAAGAGGCATTTGCTGGTGTCATCTTTAGGCCAGAGGGTGCTGTCAGTGTTGAGTTTCCAAAGCCAGTTATGGTTGTTGGTACATGCTCGGGGATATGGGTTAGTTTCTGATTCTAATTTGGTCAAACACCTGCATTGCAACAAATATTGAAAATTTAGGTTCTTTTTTTATTTTTTATTTTTTTCTTAATTAGTGTAAAAGGAAAACATTGCTTTGGACAGAGCAACATGTTAACATGATTCTTGTTTCCTGGATTGTGTGTGGAAAAGAGGCAATCGCAAATGAAGTAATGAATTTCATCAGCTATCAGCAAACTTTTGTCAATTCAATTAAACACGGATCTTTGAAAAGACCAACTAGCTGAACGTGGTATCCAGACGCTTAGTTATTCGTAAAAGTAAAAGCTAACTTCTTTGTTTACTTCTGTTGCTGTTGTTTTTCACCCTCTGGACTTATGAAACAAAGTCACTTAATTTCGTTCCCCTCTAGGAAAAAAAAATTTCCCTCGTACTTCAATTAATTCTCGAATGTGTCTCCTCTATCTTCCCTGGAAAGCTATCATTTTCCTTTATATTTCTAATTGAAGTTAATCTTTAGGTCGTGTCAGAGTGACTGAAAATTTCGTGTCATATTCTTTTCAATGACTACGGAAATATGACAAATTTTAACTTGGAAGATTGCCATGTCTTTTTGTTGTCATAGATACCAAGGGAAAGTTAACATTTGCATTTCCTGTACATGAAGCTTTTGTACACACTGATTTTAAAATGTCGGTAAATCTCATCGGATACCACGGAGAAACTAGTCATTTTAAACCAAAATAAAACATACGAATGGCCCTTAATTCTTTTGAAGCGTTAACCTCGAGCTGGAAGCTCGGATTTTTGCTCACATGCAAACTGAATTAAATGATCGAATATAACCTAGATAGGGCTCTAGCGTGATCTTAGCGCCATGTCATGTAGCATCAGATGCTAGAAAGTTAAAGAAAACACTTTGAAAGAAGGAAATATAAATGATAAATAGAAACCGTTGCCTACCTGCTTCGCAGTTACTTCCTGTGTATCCTTCTGTGCAAACACACACGTGACTGTTGCTCTCGTAATTTGAACGGCAGGTGCCTTTGTTTTGACAAGGCCTGTTTAAGCACGGAGACTAAAGACAAAAAATTAGGAAAGCGAAGGAGTTCTAGATTGCGATATGCTTGTGTTACCCTGACATACCAAAAGATTTAAAATAGTTTATGGTTATTTACCAAAGCTTAGGTGACCAGTGGTGGATATTTACTGGGCCGCGAAGTCGCGTAACAAATATTCACACTTTCATCAACACTGAGGTAAATGATTGTTTTGTCATACACCACTCCAATATCAAAAAATGATTAATTAACTCTCAGTGCTAAGAAACATGGGCGCAAATTTCACCTTTATGTGCGATTTTGAATATTGGGCAGCTCGGAGGAGAAAATTCTTTGCAAACTACGCCCAAATTAACCAATCAGCGCACTCGAAAAGCGCTAGTCACCTTTGTGGTACATGCTAACTCAGCATTTTCTTTCGATAAATTCCGTATCAGTCAAGAACATTAATGTTTTAGTTAATTGAAGCTTTGGCTGTTCAAAATTCACCATATTGATTATGAAATTCAGCTACCTCATACACGTTGGTCACAAATATAATTCTCAAACATTGCCGCCGCTTTTCATGAAAGAGCCTGTGATAAGAAAAATAGTCTAGAAGTACCGCCGTTTAATTACCAAGTTGTTCCTAACTGATTCATTTAAAACCAGAGCATTTTTCTCTCCTTCGTCACATTCATCGTATCTGTATATTGTACGAGGTGCAACTACCACAGACTGCAGCATGCGTAAACCAACATATTCTGATACAAAAGAAAATGCCAAAACAAAAGCTAATTCAAAAGGGGGTTTAAGTGAGAGTTATCCCAACGCAGCGATTCCGTATTGGCCCAGATCCTATTTGCCTTTACTGATTAAGTCAGGAAAAAAAGATAAAATGAGTAAGGAAACAAAATAAAACAAAACAAAACAAAGCATCAAAAAAGGCTAACCACCACTTTCGTTAGACAGCTAGATGTTTGATAATACAGTGTAAGAATCTTGGTGTTAAAACCCGATCACATGTTGCACAAAGGTTTTTACGCGGACCTTTACATTTTGTCTCCATATCCCCTATAAAAGCCGGGGTTTTCTTAATAAAGGCAGTTACTGAGCAAACCCGACTTAAACTTCCCACATCTTTAGGAAAAACCACCATCGGTTCTCTAAAATTAATAAAATATAAATTCTTACCCAGATGCTGAAATGATGAAAAAGATGATTGGCAACCAGCTTGTCCGAGTTGTTGTGGATGTCCGAGGGAAGCAGTTCACAAAGGATTTTACTGTTCATATCGACAACGGCAGCCAGGTTAAAAGAAAAGCACGAGGGTGTGTTGATACAGGCAAGTCCACAAGCTTTACTGCTGTGGACATAATCTGCTCCAAGTGCTGTTATGTTCAGGTGGGACAGTTTGTGTGCTTTAAATCTGGCAAAAGCGACACCAGTGTGAGCATTTCTCTCTATGCCTTTACCAAGTGCTTCAATAGTCTTTGGTTGACCTATTTGTGATAATCTACAGAAAAAGTGGAAAATAAGAACAATCGTAGCAATTAACAATTGCTCCATGCGTCAGCAGGCGCTTATTGATACGCGAGAGATTTGGAGACCTCGAAAGCTGTACAGGAGCTCCTCAAGGTGGATACAAATACAACTCTTGGTTCTCGAAGTTTTTCTTAACTTTCCAAAGTGTTTCATAACCTGACTAACGCACACCTGAAGTATGACACAATTGTTTTGTTGCATGATTTCTGGGGAGAAATATCCTCCACTAATCTTTAATGGAAGAAAAACGCCACCAGCGTGCAAAATTAGGTGATGCGGCACCTTCGCGCTATTGAAAAATCTATTATCTATGCTATGAACTGAATCAGAACACAGAATCGACCTTGAAACATGATTCAATTGTGGAGATGTGTAAAAGAAAAACAAAAATTTTTTACCTTTCGTTTTCATTGGAAAGAACATCAAAGCCAGAATGCTTATGATGTTCAGGACGACGAGGTCCATTGCGGTGCGCTCTTGGAGAAATTTCATTCAAACAAGCACGCCCAAGGTAACAACATAATGCCTCGTGTTTACGCCGATTTTCTATAAATACATCAATTTAATAAATGCCAAGAGATATATTTATACCTCTTTTCGTCGTGAATTACTTACTGAACCTCAGATATGAGTTAATTGTCAGAAACACATTAGGGGCAACATCGTCTCCACGAAATCTGGCCAAGGGCAGATGAATCATTATTGATGCAAGCAAGAGATTATAATTAGTTAATTTTCTTTTGAAAGCCAATATGGCAGCGATCCTGAGTAATTGCTTGCATCATGTATTTTGCATTTTGCATGCCTACCTCTTAAGCAGTTTTATTTTGTAATTAGTTCGGCTTCCTTTGCGTTTATCTTCTCACTATTAGAGGGAAGATAGAAGTCAACTCTTTTGGAGTATTTCTCATTTTTTCTTTTTCATTTAAGGCGGCACTCAAATATTATGTTCTCCCATTTATTTTTTTCCTTGGACCGTCCCCTATATTCCTAACCGGCTAATCGAAAAACCACAAACTGGATATTTTCATTCAGTTGTGCCTTCCGAGAAATTAACGATTGTAAATTATTTATCTGTAGCATGTCAAGATAATTGAATGCGTGGGAATTTAATTGAAACGCTCGTTGAATGACAGCTTTAGCGCACAACATTAAAAATGCAAATTAAAGCTTTTTACACCTCGTACAAAGCTAAGATTAACGATAAGGTACTCACTATGCACACCATATTCGAACAGTTTTTTATCTTAAATTTGATGTAATTTTAAATTTGATTAATTTTAATTTTTTTTGGAATTTTTATAGTTATGTGGTATAGTTTTTCGATAAATCCATCCTGACGTGAGTTAATTATCCTGTGAGACCATAGTTTAACATTTCTTTTAACTTTATTGATACTTTAACGTTAATAATAATAATAATTGTAATAATGATAATAATGAGAAAAATAAGGACGTTCTTAACTGACCCAGTGTGGGTATAATCATCAGCGCTTCACTCAGTTGCGCCCTCAAGACCACTATTTGTTTTTCCATAACATGTTGACGTCATTTGAGATCTGTGGCAACATAAAATCTATTTGTTTTTCATAGTAAAGAAGCAAAAAGATTCGTTCGGTGACGTCGATCATTTATCTATCTCACAGGTCTTAAACAATTAGAGTGTCTAAATTTCCAAAAGACGCTAGCTGTTGGCTACTAAGGAAATTGGACACTTGAGGATGAGGAAAGAATCTTACAAAGCTGCTAGCATTGAAATTTTTTTATAGCCTTTTTAATCTCTACATAACAAGTTTTGATGAAAATCTACGCTTATGAACCCATGGCGCCTAAGCTGTTATGTTGCACCTTCCTGGGACCAAACAGGAAACGCTCGTCTCTTCCCATGTAACAGCCGTAATAATTTCAAGAGAAAATTTTTGAATGATATTTCAACACTATCTCCTTCCCCATAACATAACATAATTTCTAATCGATACATTTAAGCAAGGCCTCTACAGCAACTTTGGATCCTTTATGGATTGGCCAGCTTGCAAAAGTAAATTTATCCCGAGTTTGTTAACATAATATTGATGTTTGAGGCCCGGTTGGAGAAAGACTACGAGTCTTCGATCCAAGTTGCGCTTCGCCAAAAATTAATCTTATACGAATTTACACAAAAATTAGATCACGAAATGAAGTTATCATCAGGCTGAAAACGGGGAACAACCATAGAATGGTTTTTTGGTGGTCTTTGAAGAACGAGGAATAACTCAAAGGTACAATTGGATGCAATTAGAGGTATGAAAGAACCCCTACAATCTATCGGTGCCAAAAACTCGATACCGATCTAAGCAGGGCTTTATACTAGATACCAAGTAATTGACTGATAAAAGATAAAAGGAAGTGTCTTTTTCATGGTTTGAAAGGTGTTTTATTTAGTAATTCTTGGATACATTTGTTGAGTGCGTATTTAAAATTTCGTTAACATCAGTGACAAATTCTCAACAATTGTCAATAATACAGTTGTATCAGCCTTTTTATTATCGTCCAATGGTCTTTTGCCCGTGTTAGCGATAAGTAACTAAATAAAAAATAGCCAAAACAAATTCATTGACAAGTTTAGTAATTGCTAGTATGAATTTTCTGTTTAATTCAAATAGGCTTTGTTTGAAATAACTTGTATATATATATATATATATATCAGGATATATATATCAGGACTGTGGTGATATATCTTTTTACGAAAATTCTTTGCAAAAGAATAATCTGCACACCTTTTCAGAATTTTGAAAATCCTCTTTAGCAAGAGCTTTATAATCTTTTGTTTTTAGACATCGTTGATTTCGATGTGGCAGAATGTATGCATTTTGCAGTTTTTTTTGTTTTCTTTCAAAGTTACAATATCGAACTGACTGATGAAATATATTACTGACACGGTACGTTATTTTTACATAATTGCTGTGCCATGACAGGTGTTCGCCGGTGGCTTCTCTAACCCTTCTGAAAACCGATTTTGACCAGCTTTCTTAAACATGAAATATTCACAAAATTGAATACATGCTTCCCCGCAAAGTGCCAAGGTGACACATACCTTTTACCTTTTTCTTACCTCTTTACATTCACGGTTGGTAAAATTTTGCTGGAGAGAGTCGTCAGTGATAATATAAAAATGTAAATGTCAACTTAGAAGTGATATCATTTTAGAAGGTGTTCTTCTTTAGAATTTTGAAGCTATATTGTCTCATTCCTATGAAACCTTCTCTTTTCTTAAGGACTATCGCAAATATTTCCCCGATGAGTTGTCACCTGCTAGTATTTGACAGAGAATAAACCTTTATTGTTGGCGTCTTTGCAGGTCATGTTTGTGTGTCAATGTCTTTGTACCAAGTGTAAATGCCATCGAAAAAGTGTTACAATTTAAAATAAAAACCCACCAACAAACCACTCGCGGGACCGATGTACTTTAAAGGAGTGTTAATCGGCCATGTATTTAATACGAGACAATTAAAGCAGCAGGGAAATTATTTTGATCATAATGACCTGTTCATGGTCAGAAGTTATGATAACACTTAAGTTCCTAAGTACAATATGGTTTCAGTGAAGCCATTCGTTGTCTGGGGAGAGTCACGTTTGAAAGTGAGAAAAGCAATCAATACCGTCAGCACACAGAGAGACCTCATTCTACTTCGACCAGCGATGAGAATTGATAGGTGGCTAAGGACTTACAATACATAAAAAGTCGTTTTTTTTTTCTATAATGGGCGGAGTCTTCTTGCAATCATTGAGTTAATTGCTGGTCGAGTTAATCTTGTCTCCGAGAACGCCTCTCGGTAAGCAAGCGTTACTTTTGTGGAAAATTGAATTTAGTTTCATATTTAAAATATATCCGAATTTTACAAACATCTCTTCATTTGTACAAATATCTAACGCACCTTTGGTTGATTTGACTATGATTATCTAGGCCACAATTTAGACTTAACGAATAGCGAAAAGATGGCTGGCCCAAGTAAACTGCATGTAATTTAATGAATTGCCTTAAACTATTTATTTCATATTTCTTATAGTGCAGACTATATTTCATGTTTTCGTTCATAACCTTTTATATGAACACTACTTTTGATGGGACTTTGATGAAAGAGGTGCGTTATACAAACAATAACAAATCCTCATAATGACTTGTTAACTTATTTTACTAAGCACGCGAGTGCATCTAATTTGGCGACAAGGATATAGCTGTAATACGGGCGGTAATACAGGAACATGAGGGATAAAATTCAGCGAATTTAATTTCTTTTTTGCTTATCTGGCATTATTGTGGAGAGTCGTTTTCCTTTTTTTAACTCGGGTTGTAGCAAAATTTGCTTATTTCCATTGATGGACGCCACAACAGTTTAAAGGTACTGTTTTTATTCCCTATTCATTCTAGACCGGAACTAAACGAATTAATGGTTACTATCAAAAGGATTTTATTCGATACATAATATTATTTTCAATTTGTTTGAAAGGAGTGATCACGGAGAAAAACTAGAGCATGAATAAACAATGTAAAACCAACCGTAAAAATAATAGTGCCATATACAAAAAAAGAAAGAATGGTTACACTGTACAATAGCAGCTTGATGGGAATTTATGGTTTTAAAGAGTTGCTTTAAGAGGCACACCATGAAAACAGAAGCTAATGTAACTATCTTTCACTATCTTTTTCAAATCACATCTTGAAAAGGATTAGTCTAAAATTGACGTGCTCAAAAAGAAAACAGTGCTACTGTATACTAATTTATGTGATGAGACTTGGTTAGGACACTTTCTGGTGTGAATTAACTGAACGCTGAGTGCTCATGCCTGTTCCGAGTTCATGTTCAAGCAAAGGTGCGTTAAAGCTTGAACAAGTTAAATTTTCACGTTTATAAGTAACAAACCACGCCTGAATCTTCGCTGTGATGGCAATTGTTAAATCCTTTCTAAGTGAATGTACACAGGAATAATGAGCTCTCTCATCCGACGCGGTTCATGTGATCTCTCCCTACAGGACTCGATCCCTGACCATGTGCTGCACTAGTGTGGCTTATATGCCACACTTGCATCATTTATATCCCACGTATCATCGCAAATGGTTTCCCAGTCCCCACTGTCAAACTCTTCAACACGACCGTAGCTCCTATATCTATTTGAACCAAAAAAGGCACGTTTTCCAACAATTGGAAGTGATGTCGCAATCTGATTGGCCAATTTACCGTTGTCGATAAGAGTAAAGACAACGCGGCTTGCGTCAACGTGCCACGTGATGACCATACCCTGTTTGAGTCGTTTTATTGTTGTGACAAATATCGTGTCGATAACAGTGCAGACCTCGCTAAACCACTGTCGATCCAAGTTTTGGTACACATTAGGGAATCCAGTGGCCGAGATATTACGTCTCACTTATTTTTTGAGATAATCCTTAGCATTCCATGGTGACAATTTTTGTTTTGTATTGTGCGTGCACAAAGGAAACATCTTGGCTACTTGATAAAGTTATTCAAAATAAAGTTATTCAAAATAAATTAAAGGCAAGCATCATTGATTTCGAAACACTCAGTTATTCGTAAAAATAAAGGTTTGCTTCTTTGTTTATTCTTGTTGTTGTTGTTGATGTTTCTAACATATTGTACTTATAGAACAAAGTCACTCTAGAAAAAAGCAAGTTTGTTTTTTCCCTTTCGTGTCCATTAATTCTCAGTTCGAATGTGTCTCTTCTAGCAACACCAACATCAGTACTCATTATTGAGAACTATGAACACTTTAGCACAAGATTTCCACATATAGTAGTGCTTCGTTCCTTTTCTATTGTCCCACGCTTAATGCATCGTTAAGAGTAATTGTTGTAAATATAAGCTTCTAGCAATCTTCGGACTGCTCAGTCATGCTGACTTGTGTATTATAGAACTTTCTAGAACATTTCAGCAATTCACGCAGTTATTTAGTAATACTTCTGAAATATTTCTTTTGTAAGCTTCTAGCAGGTTCCAGAACACTTTATAAATATATATAAAGACCCGCATATGTAGTAGTAGGAGTTGTTGTGGTCGGAGCGACGACTGTTTTGAAAGTTATACTGAGAAAGAGTTACTGCGGAAGATTGCTAATTTCAAGGAATTTTGGAGACAGAAGTGAGATTGTGTCGGTGGTGAGCTAGGATACAGATTGTGGTGGGCTTAATAAAGTCCATTAACGATAAGTATTGAACTCCTCTTAGGAGTCGCTCCTTGTTAAGAACATTCCTTGCTGTTTAGTAAAGTAGTTGAGTTTGTGGAATTGTGGTGTTTTTCTGTCAGCTACATTATACCATAACAGAAATTGGAAGCCTCTCCTGGAGAAAATTTTATTGCGGAGTTTGTTTTAGTTTATTTTGAGGAGAATTTACTCTCTGTAAGAGTATTCATAGATTATAGCAAGATGCCAAGGTTTAATCCAGAGGTATTTCTTTCAAAGCCCGACGACGATACGCTGTACTATTTAAAGAAAGATGAGCTTATTTATCAACGGAAAACTTAGAGTAAGTAGTTAAGAAAGCGATGAGAAAGCGTCAGATACAATATATCAGAGTGAAACTCTCAGCAGATGTTAAGGCTTTCAAAGAGACGATGTTGGAAGTTGGAAAGAATGTCAGAAAATATGGGCATACAACGTGGGGAAAATTCGACTTAGAACTGAACAAGTTAGCAATGCAAGAAAGGCTCGAAAGAGAGGAAAGAGAAAGACAAAAAGAGTTGGAGTGAAAAGAAAAGGAAAGACAAGAACGGCTGAAGAAAGAGAGACTGCCATTGCAGCATGAACTAGAAATGAAAAGCTCAGAGGTACATATGAAATTAAGGTTAGACCCTAGCAGTGAAAACTCAAGGGAGAAATCTGATGTCGCTAAGTATATTGAGTGAGTACCTCCATTTCAGGAAGCAAATATTGATAAGTATTTTTGCACTTTGAGAAAGTAGCTAGGAACCTTAAGTGGCCCAAGGTTTACTGGACAATGTTATTATAGAGTGTACTAGTTCGTAAATCAAGGGAAATTTATACACAGTTAAGTATAGAGCAAGCTGCACATTATGACACTGTTAAGGATCTTATTTAAAACGTTAATGAACTTTCTCAAAAGTTTAGAAACTGCGAGAAAGTCGTTAGTCAGACCTAAGTAGAATTTGCTAGAAGTAAGGCTATTTGAAGCTTGGTGCCATTCACAGAGGTACGTACACAAAAGTTATGATAGGTTAAGACAGCTTATTTAAATAGAGGGATGTGAGGGGTGCATTCACAGTGATGTCCAAACATTCATTGATGAGCAAAAAGGAGAAACGTTGGGGGACGCTGCAGAACGATAGAACCACATAGTGAATTGCGTGGAAATACCCCGTCAGCTTCGCACTCCACCTGGTAGAGTTCTTCCTCCTTCGGTACCACGATAGCTTGGTAGAATGATGGAGGACATCCAAAACAGAATCCTGCTAACAACCACAGAAATCGTTTCAGCTCCTCATGGTCAAGACAGACAAAGTTTGATTAAAGTAAGCTCATCAAGCCACCAACATGTTACTATTGCAGAAAAGAAGGTCACCTGATTTCTAGCTGCCTGGAAAAGTGGAGAGTGGCGCAAAAACAAAATAGCATGGAGCCGAAGCCTAACGGTTTTATCGCTAAGCCATTGTCTTTATCTCCTGTTAGTGAAGATACACCTCCCCAAGTTCCAGGAAAGAAGACTCGGACTAGTCCTAAGAGTGAAGTCAGTGGTCAGTCCAAATCTGTCATGAATATTTTTTAAGCCCTTCATTCACAATGGCTCAGTGTAATTATCAAGTAATACATCAAACTCCATACCGATCAAGATTTGAGAGACACTGGATCCCGCAGTCTTTACTGTTGAGTAACACTTTTGTGTTCTCTGAGAAGTCGTCCACTGGTGCAAATGTTCTAATCAGAGGAATCAGTTCCGAGTATACCCCAGCGCCACTTCGCACAGCTCATGTATTTCATCGCTTGAAATGATAGGAAATCTTGAAACATCCAACTCTCGTGGTAGCTCTTGATTTTCTTCGTTTCTTGCTGACTCGGTGGACGCGGTGGTCTTAGGATCGCGCGGGTTTTGAGCTTGAGAAGGAAGAAATTAAATTCATCCATTTTTGGGAGGGAAAAAATGAGAGTTTTGGAGAGAAGAGTTGCAAAATTTGCCACATTATACTCTTCGTCTTTCATTTTCATGCAATTTGATTGGTTTCTTCAAACAAGCCTTGAAATCTGATTGGTTGTTTTATATTTAGTGTAGCTTTTTCATTGGCTGGGAAAAAGGTTCGATTAAGAACAAATAATGGCGCGATTCGTGAAGAAATCGCACCGATTAGAGCCAATCATATTACAGGGACCACCAGTGATTTTAAAATGGATGTAGTAAATAAATTTATTTGTTATCCATCGTCTACTATCTTATGGTTGGTTGTAATGATAACTTAGTCTAACATATTCTTATTTACGGGATGGACCCTTTGCCTTTATTCTCTTCTTTTGCGTGGTTATAAATTATGATCGAAATCAGACATCCGATCACCCCTACAAACGAAAAAAAAAAACACTTCACTCTGTTAGAGACGGCTATGACTATGTGTTAAAAGTGCTGTAAGCCCCCATGCAGGGGACTCAGACGACTACCACAAATGTAGTCAGGCATCAAGTAAGTCGGTAGCCCGTTTGCCACTTGCTTTAGGGAAAATCAGACCCAAATATCTTATATAAACTACGCGACTCACGATTAAGAGATCAGTGGTAATATGAGTCGTGTTGGGTGCTTCTAAAAATGTCGTTAACAGAACTGACCATTTTAAAGCGTAGAAAGTAGAGCTCATACTGTGTTAAACGAAAGTGGAAATCTTTTGGCATTTGGGACATTCAAGTCGTTGTACGTTTTAGTCGATGCGGTATGGTTCCCGTGATTGGAGTGAACTTTTGTGGCATAATCAAGATGCTCTTTCTGAGAGCGTGGAGGTTGTCTTGGTATCAGAAGTAACTCGCCGGTGGATACGAGCTGGCACCGGGATGTCTTTCGTAGGCGCAGAAAGACGACGGTATCTATGCCATTTCTTTCCAAGAATTAATATTCAATATTATGATGTGTAAACCAGTGGCTCAGTAGGAAACCGGAAATTGTCTCATCTTAACTCTGAGAACCTCTTTGATTGTTATAAACTAATTTTATTTTGGTGAGTCTCAAGGCAGTCTTGTACGTTGACATAATTCTGCAAAAGAGAGCAACGACGAAATTTAAGATCAGAAGTGAAAGGAAAACTCGTCAAAAGCGTCTTTCCAAGACCTTTTCACTGCTGATGGGACATGCCCGCAATAGGAAACAACTCAACTTCACAAGAAATTGCGACACTGATTTGTCACCATAAAGGACGTGCCCCAAAATTTTCAGTTTTGTATGCAAATCTCCCGTGGCTCGTGTTCCTGAGCAAAAAAAATGACTTTACCATTCGTCCATCACTCGCACGATCATAATCCTGGGCACTGATTTACAAGATAAATACTTAAGAGGACCTGCAATACGAGTAAAATTTGTCACAAGAATTCTAACCTGCTTAGACTTTTGTAATCCCCTGATGGAAGAGCACAAAAACTCAAATGACGGTCTTATTTCAGGATCCGTTTCCCAACAATTCAGCATGATATTATACCTGAAGAATTCCAGTATTTTCCATGGTTAGTGCTCACAGAATACAACATTACCAATGGTAGTAAAATTTTAAAATCAACAGAATGTCGATTTAGGTTTCGCGCATCGCCCTGATTGCACCTTATCCGTTTCATACGACAGATATAAATGGGTAAATAACTACATAACAACTGGAGACGAGGCGGAGAGTAACCTATGAGTTTTACACTGCATTTGGTTTAGTTTACTAGAAATTCTTTTATTTTAACGTTAGGTTTAGAAAGTTGTAGCTTTAGCTATGCGTTTTTTAGAGTTCAGTTGGATTGCGATACAATACATTATGGATTAACTTAGATTACCTTATGAAAGAACTTTTGCCATTATCATATTGAAAATTACTGTAGAGAGGTTAGGAATTACTTACAACTCATCCTTAAAATAATCAGGTTTAGGAATTCTGTACCCCTTTTGTAATACTCTTGGAATCTTACATGGACTTATTCCGGGATAAGGTTCAGCGCCTAAAGTGTGTAATAATTTAAGATGACAGTCAATGTACTATGGTGACCAAAGAATCTCTTAATTTTACTTGATAACTTTTCTCGAGTGATAGAGGAACAAATTACGAGCGCTTGCTTTGGGTGACAAACACTCAAACCGATAGAAAGCTGTTTTATTAAAATACTATCATGATAGAGAAAGCAAGCTATTGATTGAATATATGCACACGTGTGTTAGAGATCACTCATCTCTTATTCTTGGTCTCTCATAAATACTGACTGCTTACGATTTTCTCCATTTCCCACGGAAGTCTGAAAGTAAATATACTATCCTAGAGAGCTTCATCAGTACCTGTCACGGCAGATGATTGGTACTTGTATACTCGATTTCGATCGATGCATTCTTAAATCTTAAACCTTAAACCACTACGAGGTCAATATAAGACCTACCAATGGTGCAAATCTCGTATAAAACGATTCCAAAACTCCACCTGCAAGAAAGTAAAAACAAAAGTTCAGTATTTTCTGTCTTTAGATTTCCTAGATCTCCGTATTCTAGCTAAATTGAGAGGTGCTTACCTTCTACTTCAGCTGTAAGATTTCTAGATTTACTTTTTCTTGTTTTCTAAAAAGGCGTTAAGTGTTTCAAGTTTGCAATTTCATTTATCTTAAGTTACACTAGGCTACGTGTAGCCGTACCCTCCCCGATGGTGGAACGGAAGCGAGGGAGCGTCAACGCAAACCTGACACTAACCTTGTTCCGTGACGTTACTCTAACTTATGCAAAATAGTGTCACTTGATAGTATTTTGTTGCGAAGTGACACGTGTTAGCGTGAGGGCTATCAAGAAAACAATAGCATTGAAGTGTATTCATTTTCCATTTTTCGGGTAAATTTGCAATTCAGCGTCCGAGCTCAAATGCATACTTTGATTTAAGGATACAAGAAGAGATCATGAGCGGTTTTTGGCATAGAGTAGGAAGAAGACGATATTCGATTAGCATCGCACTTACGAAACTAGATTTCAATGTCCACGCGGTTTCTGCTTGCATTTGTAAACAGTGTCGCGGTCGTCGAAAAGAGGTGGATCATTTGCCGCAGAATCTCAAGGATTTCAAAGGTTTCCTTGAGAGATAGTTACGCTGCAAGCGTGAAGAAAGAGCGACTCTTTCCTCAGTCGAAAGAATCGCTGCATGAAACGACCGGCTTTAATTTACCTTCACAGCACCGTTCGCAAAGAGACCGAAAGTTGAAGGCGGACAACCCTCTTGGCCCAAGTGCATTTAGATAGTGCACCTGGTCTTCTCTGAGAACTTTAACGGGCGGCATAAAAAATATAGTGACCGCCTTCCCCTAAAGAGGAAAGGTGATCGATCACAGACGCTGCTTGATATAATAAGGATTTTCCATAGCCAGTTGGTAACGAAAGGGAGACATCGTTACCTTCGAAAAAAATATCTATCGCTTTCTGCTGTTCTTCTTGAAATGTCTCTATCCCAAACGCCGCGCAAACTTGCCTTAAAACCTCGTGGTAGATCGCTGTTATCTGAAAAGTTGACCGTGAAAACATTTTATTTAGCATCTTGTTTGTTAATATGAAAATAAATTACAACTAGAACCAATCAGAATCGACGAAAGAGTTGACAATGAAGAAATGTAAAATGGTTTCCGTGTTTAGAGAGCCTGATGTAAACATGCAGAAGGTTGGGAGAACACGAGATAAGCGTAGGAAACCACGACGCGAAGCGGAGTGGTTTCCAGCTAATCAAGTGTTCTCCCAACCTCCCAAGTGTTTACATCAGACTATGTAAACACGGAAACCATTTTACATTTCTTTTATAAAATAACTAATGAAAGAGGAACGAAAACCGTGTTTACATACGCTCATGTAAAATGGTTTTATGGCCAATCAGAGCGCGCGTACTATTTGAATTATTTTATAAAAGGAGTTAACCAATAAAACAGTCATTATACATTTTCTTGCAAAAGAGTGACTTCACGGAACACGATTAGTGTCAGGTTTGCGTTGACGTTACCTCGCCTTCGTTTCACCTTAGCGGGGGAAGGGTACTGCTACACTACACGTAGGCTAAACCTACACATCACTTTTCGTTGAGTATTCCATCCTTCCAGTCATTGCTTCAATTGCTGTCCATTTAACAGGAATTCGACCCTGTATTGAAAGAAGTTTATGAGGAGAAACCTTCATTTTTCTGAGGATATATTTAATTTTCGGCGATCTCCTTTTGGAATAGCTGAGCGATATAGTGTCTTTTTCTCATTTTTTTTTTCTTTATCTTCTTTTTTTGTCTTTCTTCCTTTCTTTTCCTCTTTTTTTTTTATTTTCACCTTCTTTCTTTTTTTATAGTGATCGGATCTCAAATAGCATTAGTTCCTAAGACATCGAGAGATTCTAGCGCATCGATCTCGATCCATCTGTTAAAGAATAAATTAATCAATTAAAACCATAAATATAGAAGAAAAGAGCGGAAGGCAAACGTAAGATCTGCAGACCGAGGTGAAGGACGAGCTTACATCTCTCATCACTTCATCTATATCTAAGTTTAAGCGGTCATTATATTAAAAATCTTAGTCAGGTGGATGTCCTTTCATTATTGAAACAGTTTGGGCAGGATAACTGCTGAGAAAAGAAACTACCTGATTACGAGGTATATAAATATCTTGCAAATCAATATCGCGAGCCATCCCAAAATCTGTAATCTTGCATGTGAGGTTTTCACCAACCAATACATTCCTTGCTGCTAGGTCTCGATGGATGATCTATTGATAGAAAACGAAAACAAAACAAAACAAACAAAAGAGATGATGATATTGAGGATACAAGGGAATGTTATAAATAATTATCAATTGAAAACACGCACCCTTTTAGATGAGATATATTGCATGCCGTCAGCTATCTGCCAGGCGAATGTCAGGATCTGCTCGGAGGTCAGGTACGTCGCTGGTTTTATCTCGGGATATTCGTAGTAACAGTCGTGCAACCCACGACTTCTCCGAAGGTAACCGAGAAGATCTCCGTAAGGTACATACTCAATGATTACATATGGGTTTTCTATAGAATGATAAAAACTGCTTTCAAAATATGCATTGCAAAGCATATTCAAAGACATAGACTATCTGAAGAGAATGAAGATTTTTTTTTTTATACAATGTTTGATCTTTAAGGTTGAATCGTACAGTAAGTAAGAATAAATTAGAAGAATGAACCAAGAAATTGAGATAATACAACAAACATTTGTACCTCTAATGTACGCTGTGCTTTTTTCGATATTTTCATTTCCTTTTTTTGTTTTTGTTTTTATTACTTGCGCTAATAAGCCTTAGCTCCTACATTATCGAGCAGTATGCGCGGACATCATTAACCATTCATAACCGTTAAAGCGGCAAATTCGAATACTGCTTCGCTTTGAAGAGTCATAAATTAGAGAAGAATGGGCCAAAATCAACCCACTGGGCCTTGTAAAACTTACTTTTTTGAGTATTAGACGTGATTTTTTTATGTCAACGCATGGCTTTTTGAAGGTTAAATATATAAGTACAATTTACACCTGATATAAAAGATTTTTATGGGATAGAAGCATTATCATTTTGCACCTGGAAATACTCAAAACTCGGTCATTATTGGTGTGAAAGTCATTTTTCAAGAGCGATTTTCTAAAGACCCTCATTACCCCCCGAAAAGCAACGCACGGCAAATGACAAATGAATCTTACTTATAACAGAATCTGTTTAATTGGCCGATGGGAATCTTTATCCTTTTCAGTTCGGAAATTTTAATGCTTACAGTATTTACATAAATAACTTAGAAAACTAAAATTACTTATATTAATCATAATAATGGCACTGCTCATAGCACAATGATTAATTTAAAATGCACGCTAAACATTTGAAGAAGAAAAACTGAAAATTACTTCAAAAGCATGCATTATTCAATTTACTATACTTTATGCATTATTTATATGCCTGTGTGAGCGGAAGGAGTAATCAATAAATATCCTCAAATTTGTGTAAAAAGATAGTGATCAATTATACGTGTAATTACCTTTTTCCTCTGTGATGCAACCCAAAAGTGTTATTACATGTGGCTGAGGTTCTAGTTTCTTTAGGAGGTTTAATTCAGACAACAGATCTCTTCTTTCACTTTCCGTCGCACCTTCTGTTGATCAAAAACAGTAAGAAACCCCCTTTTTAGTAAGAGAAAATTATAAGGGACGGAGACAAAGTTGAACCCTGAAATGGAGGCCTTGCGTAAGGTAATGAATTGCCTTGTTGCAGATAAAGGGAAAACTTTTCTTTCTTTCTTTCTTTCCGGCCCCTTTGTTGCAAGGACTATTTATCCATTCTAATAGTATTAGGGGCTCAAATGTGATTTATTTCATTCAATTTGGGTCATCTTTTCCTCGGGGATATGAATCGAACAGCCTGCTTAAATTTTCGTTCACCTTACAGCTTGCAGCCTCGTAGCTTCGTATAAAGCTTATCTTCTCAACTTCTCTAATTGCATTTCATTTGCGGAAAGCATATATTTTCCTCTTTAAGTTCCTCATCTTTAGATTTAACTACGATTTTTTTATGTAATTAAGACGACTCAGTTTCTTTGATCGATCCTTGTGATTTTTATAATTACTTGAAAAATATTACCCTGCAAGCTTTTTACTGCCACAACTGTCCATTCTGTGTAGCCCTGCAGATATCGAGCGTAGCCTTTAGAGACCACTCCAAACGCACCGTGACCAACTACTCTTTCAATCGCCAAGTTTTCCTTCGGAAGCTCCCAGGACGGAACTGGAACCATTGGCACTCTATTGGAAAAAGTAGAGAAATTACGACAAAGGAAACTAGTACCCCATTCACACCAGCAAAACACGCTTAGTTGAACCGTGTTTAACTGAAGGAAGATCAGAACCAATAGGCTACATTTGAAGTTGACAAACAATGGTTTAACCAGCTTCTATCACAAAAAAATTTAAACCGTGTTTAACAAAGGAGCTCTAAAACATGTTTAAGCTTTGGGGTGAATGGGGTATAACTTAATGATAATTAAAGAATTTAAGCTTTATTCATTGTGGTAATTGTTATACTAACGGTAGAGAGTCTGATTTCTGAGAAGGAATCCGGGAATTTGGAGCAGAAAGGGAAAAGGAACTATTTAAGGTTGATACTAAAACTTGCCTTGTAATATAATCATTGGTTACTAAGTGATCTATTAGCTTTTACACATAACTTGATTAGAAGCCACTATACACTTACGTTTCAGTTTCTACTCGCTGGTATTGCAGTACTGTTTCATTCTCGTTTGCTGAGGTTTCTTTCAATAAGAGCAAGAGAAAGTATAATTATTAAATAAACAGCATTGTAGAGATCCAATCACTGATGATAAAGATCTCCAGCAATTTCAAAATGAGTGTAATAAACATCCCGATGTACTTGGCAACATGAAAACCACGAGGAGTAGATCAAAACGAAAAGGGAAAGTTGAAAATCTTAACTACTCACATAGGAAAATTTTACTCACTATTCACTCCACTCCTCTTTCGGAGTTTGGAAGTCACAGCCCAAAGAAATGCAGGAATGGCAAGGATTGATAGGTAAGGTAAGTACTCAAATCCTAATTCCCACTTTGACTTCGCGGAGCCGGCTTTCCATATAAAAAAAAAAAAAAATTAGGAAAAACAAATACATGCAACAGGAAACGAAATTGAGCGTATCATTAAAACTTTTGAATAAATCTCAATTTCTTTCATTTCTGTGATGACGGTCTTGAGAACTGGGGCTTTGTTTCAACATCGACTCACTCTAAAAATGATAAAATTTCAACTTAGTAATGAAAGGTGTTGTTTGCACAGCGAACACGTCTGTGCGAAAAGTGTCACGGGAGATAGACAAAAATATTGCCTGTTTTGATATAGCTCGTACGGTAGACAGGTTTTTGCCTCCAATTATCAAATCGAAAGGGATTTAGCGTGGCCTGTACTCTTATCGACAACGATAATCGTTATCACAGTAGTCAAAATGTTGTAAGCCCACGAGGCGCAGCCTCGCCAAACCACTGTCGATTTGCTTTAATCACAATATCGACGTCAAATAAGATGATTCATCTACGCTTGAGAGCTAATAAAGGCACTGCGTTGACGCGAGCAGCGTTGTCTACACTTTTATCGCGAACGGCAAATTAGAAAATCACATTGTGATTACTGCCAATCGAAGGTAAATGAAATTGGTTGCTTCATGAACGTTTCAGAAATGTGGCAATGAATGTTTATACTGTTTTTTTAATTCTTCATATAGAATACTTTACCGAGCGTAAGCTCTTGGAAAATAATACTATTGGGTATTTGCATTAGGCTTTTTCGGAATTCGAGGCGGAGGATACATCTTCAACGCCAACAATATGATACATACTAAGAGACAATTCAAGAAAGCGTACCATGTGATACCACGATGTTTGAATTGAAAGTTGTTACACTGCCCGCTGTTGCATTTTCTGGGACACCTGCATGGCAAACAGTTAGCGCAATATAGTTTGGTTTCATACTGATAACATATAATATAGTTATATATAAAAACTGGCCCACCGCAAAGAATTTCTCAAGTTAACCCAAGATTTTTCCGTAATACCGTGAGGATCTAGAATGCCGATTTGAAAGATGAATCATCATATTGTGATTACTGCCAATCGAAGGTAAATGAAATTGTTTGCTTCATGAACGTTTCAGAAATGTGGCAATGAATGTTTATACTGTTTCTTTAATTCTTAATATAGAATAGTTTACCGAGCGTAAGCTCTTGGAAAATAATACTACTGGGTATTTGCATTGGGCTTTTTCGGAATTTGAGGCGGAGGATACATCTTCAACGCCAACAATATGATACATACTAAGAGACAATTCAAGAGAGCGTACCATGTGATACCACGATTTTTGAATTTAAAGTTGTTACACTTCCCGCTGTTGCATTTTCTGGAACACCTGCATGGCAAACAGTTAGCGCAATATAGTTTGGTTTCATACTGATAACATATAATATAGTTATATATAAAAACTGGCCCACCGCAAAGAATTTCTCAAGTTAACCAAAGATTTTTCCGTGATACCGTGAGGATCTAGAATGCTGATTTGAAAGATGAATCATCATATTGTGATTACTGCCAATCGAAGGTAATTGAAATTGTTTGCTTCATGAACGTTTCAGAAATGTGGCAATGAATGTTTATACTGTTTTTTTAATTCTTCATATAGAATAGTTTACCGAGCGTAAGCTCTTGGAAAATAACACTATTGGGTATTTGCATTAGGCTTTTTCGGTATTTGAGGCGGAGGATACATCTTCAACGCCAACAATATGATACATACTAAGAGACAATTGAAGAAAGCGTACCATGCGATACCTCGATGTTTGAATTCAAAGTTGTTATACTTCCCACTGTTGCATTTTCTGGGACACCTGTATGGCAAACAGTTAGCGAAATATTGTTTGGTTTTATACTGATAACATATAATATAGTTATATATAAAAATTGGCCCACCGCAAAGAATTTCTCAAGTTAACCCAAGATTTTTCCGTGATACCGTGAGGATCTAGAATGCCGATTTGAAAGATAACTTTTTGTTCTATAGATTTACGGTTAAAGTTTGATCGGAATTGCTTTAAGTGACATCAACGTTTTCAGTACCCGGAAAGTAGACGAAAACAACTTCACGCTTCTGTAGCAGAGAAACAAGACAAGAAACAATAGCCGCCCCTTCCCAGGAGAAGACCATACCCAAATTGGCCTTGGACGGAACTATATGTATCACTTTTAAGAATATTGTTCAGTACAGAAAGAACTGATCACACTATTTTACCGGTCTAATTTCCCAACGTCATGTAAAGTTATAATTAAGGTAAGGCATAGCAAAAAAATCGGTAAATAATAACATAAAACAAGAGCGACAACATTTTATACCGTAATTTGGTTTTATCGGCAGAGTTGATGATGTAAATTGCCTGCCGTTTAGGGTTTCTCTTTAAGGTGGCCAATTTACATTACCAATCTAATTGATAAAACCAAACAACATTGCAATTACCCCCCCCAAGTTAATATAGAAACTTACCCCCATTGGGAGTATGGTCCCATACGGAAGAGACATTCAGTTCAGGTGTCTTCGATGTATTTATCGCCCGTGGCTAAAAACAAAAGATCAATCTGTCTACTTGTGAGTATTTGCTGCGCTTATTTACTAAGTTCGGTATTTCAGCTGGGTTATATTCCTTTCATTTCTCGGTCCCAATATTTAACCAATTTGGTTGCTTACAAGTTTGATAACCACACTGCAGTAGTGCTGCTACCTAGCGTGGATAATCAGGCATCCAAAGGTGTCAAGAAGACATACAATAATTAGAAACGGAGCATCCTTTTATTACCTAATGGGCTAATTTACTAAAACCTAATATAATAACGGAAGAAGATGAAAAAGATGGAAAAACGAAAAACCTAGTTAAAATGCACGTGAGAAATACTGTGTCAGACCCTCTGAAGAAGAAAAAAACAAGCAAAAGAACAAAGGAACAAACAAAAGCAAAGCTTTTAAAGCACATAAACATATGACTTGAGGATCTAAGGTAATTTCCCAGAAATTTGGCTCGAGGAAGAAAGGACGAGACGACTTGAATCACCGTCTTACGGACTCTCTTTGTTCCCATTTCGTGCTCGTGGAATGTGATATGTATGAGAGCTCTTTCCTTCTTTGATTAAGCCATTATGAACCTTACAGTACTCAAACAGATTTTGACTAAAAGTGAGCTGAGTGTTATAGCTCATTTTACAGGTGGAACGTCTTTGTGTGGATAAAGTCTGTCGCTAAGACAATAACTTGTTAGATATGCAAGCTAACAACACTTAGTGCTGGTAAAACTGAGTAACATAACAAGTACTAACTTCTAAAGCATTTGCTTTCTTTCAAAGATAATGTTTAACACCAGTGTAAGCTTCAAGAACAAGTTTCAAAGCAGGTGGAAAAAGGATGCTTAGGGGATGGTATTTTTCACATGCTTTTGAGATGCTTTACATGGGTACTTAAATAGACAGTTTTCTAAAACATATCAACGTTTTGATGATAGAAGCGTTAAAACCGTGTGAAGAATGCCTTCATTT